AAGGTCCCTCTTATACTAAATTCCATTGTCCCTGTTCTTGAGGCATTGTCTTTTCCTAGTTGAATCAGAGGGCTTCTTTTCCTAAGTTGTGTGCTGGTGTTCTTGGGGCTGCTGGCCTCGGGTGTTTTCTGCAGCTTGTCCTCTCATGGTGGCCAGAGGAGTTTTGTTCTCTGTCATCCAAGGAAAAGACAACCCTATCTGTCTTGTGTTCTGCAGGCCAGGGATGACTACTTTTGAGCCTTGCAGAGGGTAGAGTGTTTGGCACAGCCAGCCATGGGTTGGTTTCCATCGAAGATTCCTCTTCCACCTGCTCTGGTTAACCAAGACCATGTTTCATTTTCCGACCTTAGGCCTCTGTGTTAACAGGATGCCAGGCAAAACATTTTTCCTCTGGGCTCCTTTGCAAACTTCACTCCACTGCCTTGGGCTAACCGCCAGGTTTGGTACACCTTGCAGGCAGTCATCTTAGAGATCTGGGTACTCCTTTTCCTGTGTCTTTCTACATTTCAGTATTTTACTCTTCCAGAAAAAAAATTTTTTTTTAACTGAGTCACCTTGTGTATTGGGTTCCAAGGAAGATAACATAAGCGAGACATGGTGCCCTCAAGAACTCAGACTCTGTGGTGAGCCTGAGGCCCCAGACTTCAGCCATGGACTTCTCCCCAGGGTCTCAGCACAGAAGTGCGGTGAGTGCTTCTCAGCCTAACTGTCTCCTCTTTCTCCTCCCATCCCCCCAACCCCCCAAGGGTGAGCTTGTCGGCCACAGACTGTTACATTGTGCATGAGATCTACAATGGGGAGAATGCCCAAGACCAGTTTGAATATGAGCTGGAGCAGGCCCTGGAAGCCCAGTACAAGTACATCGTGATCGAGCCCACACGCATCGGTGATGAGACAGCCCGCTGGATCACTGTGGGCAATTGCCTGCACAAGACCACCGTGCTAGCGGGTACCGCGTGCCTCTTCACCCCATTGGCGCTGCCCTTAGATTACTCCCACTACATCTCCCTGCCCGCAGGCGTGCTCAGCCTGGCCTGCTGCACCCTCTACGGGATCTCCTGGCAGTTTGACCCCTGCTGCAAGTACCAAGTGGAGTACGACGCCTATAAACTGTCCCGCCTGCCCCTGCACACACTCACTTCCTCTACCCCGGTGGTGCTGGTCCGGAAGGACGACTTGCACAGAAAGAGACTGCACAACACGATAGCACTGGCCGCCCTGGTGTACTGTGTAAAGAAGATTTACGAACTCTACGCCGTATGATTTCAGTAGGACAGGGAGAGGAGCAAACAGCCCAGCCCAGGAGAGACAAGAGTATTCAGATTGCCACAGTAACATTTTTTTGCTCTGTGAGGCAGCGGAGCCTGGGAAGGTGTTTGGTTTAATATTTGTTATTTTAAAAAAATAACACAGGTCACAGGTGTACCAAGGGTTTTTCAACTCATTACACTAAGATGTGGATTTCCATAACCCACAGGGGGTCTGAGGTGTGGAAGTCTGACCAGGCAATGGAATGTTGATGGCAACGCTACTGAGGGGGTGTGAATGCGCTTGCGGGGTGGGGGTGGGGGGGGAGGTCTTTAAGTATATCGTTTAACTGTACCATCCAGAGCCAACCAGAAGCTATTGACCATTAAAATTATGAGAATTTCAACTTCAGGTGTCTTCTCTTTCCATTACTGCCTACAGCTGCTGCAGTCAGCTCCAGGTGGTAGCTGGCACGTGGTAGCCGTGGGCACCATGGGTGCCGCCCTGTTCCTTGTTGCGACCTGGGATCACCATTCGCAGCAAGAACAGTCCTTTGAACAAGGCGGGCCCAGACCCCTTCCAGAGCAGTCGCACAGCTCATGCCAGCCTCCTTTTCAAGGCCAGCACTGCTAAATGCTAGTTGGGGACATGGTAGGATCAGGTGACGAGGCCTAGAGGTCACTGGGTTTCCACATGGGTCCATGTAGAGCGGAGGCCTGGGACCTCCTGTCCAAAGATTCTCATTTAGGACACACAGGTGGAACATCTGTATTTTTTTCAAAGCCTCGAAGCTGTCCCTGATGTGACCTGGAGTTCAAGCCCACTGCCTCTCCCAGATCTCCCATTCCACAGGAGCCAGCTCCTGAGCCCCTCCCTCATAGCAAAGGGCATGTTACACACCATCCTCCATATCCCCTCTAAGGTGTTAGATAAATGAAAAACCTTCCCTTCCACAAAGATGTCAGGTCCCCTGTCTTACCGGCAACCTTCCTAAGACCTGCTCTCATTCTTCCTTGAAGAACTACATGGCACTTCCTTTTGAAGGGCCCATCTTTAAGAAGCCACCTAATTTTAAAGGATTCGTTGGGAAGATCTGACACCAGAGAATAATGAAGGGGTACATGGAAAGGCGTTCAGGAGGTCGGGGGCGATCCATTTATTACAAGGGGAGATCCAGCAGACCTTTTAAAAGACTTCAAAATGGACCATGGTCCACAATGAGTTTGCAAAACTTTAATTTCAAGGGGCCTAAAAATACTAATCACTCAGCTGAATGCTGGGTGGCAAAATGGTGTTGGGGCACACTACTGTGTACATGGCAGTCTGGTCATCTGGAACAACGATAAATCGGTAATGATCCTAGACAAACACCTGGAGTCGCCTGTGCAGTGCACACTACCCTTGGGTGTCTGACTGCTGGCTCCCAAGCTGGCTGGGCAGGAATGGTAAGGTGCTTTTGTAATAAATGGCTCAGATTTGGAAAGGGAGCCCTGTGCTCTGCCTGTAAATCAGACTTTCAAGGGGGAGGTGGCTTGAAGTGGATAAGCAGTAGCCATCTCGGTCAGGTCAGCTGAGAAGTCCTCACCAGAATAGAAGCCAAGTGCAAACAGGCTGGCTCCAGCTGCACTGAACAAAGCGATTTTTGTCAGGTGGACGAGCCCAGATTCTGAAATAGCACCTCAGCTACGTGTTCCCTGCCAAGGCGAGGCCTTAGGGCTGCTGTGGAGCACAGGGCAGGAATTTGATGTTCCAGGCCTCTACATGAGCAGTGCCCCAAGTCAGCTGGGAAGGGGAGCAGGACCACACCTGCGCCTGGAAGTCCTTCCCTTCTCTGTGCCACCTTCCGACTCACACGTCACTGATGAGTGGGATAGCTCCCTGGTGATGTGCCACAGTGCTCTTAAAGAAACAGCCTTAACTGCCAACTGGGAAACAAAGGTCAGGTCAGCTGGGCCCTTCTCTGCAAAGTGTACGTACACATGACTCCTGCGTGTGCCCACATCCATGAATGCATCATGCCATTAATCCAATTACACGAGTCTTTGAGCTGCCCAGTGTCTCACCCCAATTTCAGAGAAGAGCAAAGAGCCTCTCTAAAAGCTCATCAGGAAATGCAGAGGAGCAGACCCCTGTAAACACTTACTCTCTCTTGTTAGCCTATCAGTTCCCTCCAAAGTGTTCACATCTGGTTCAGTAGCTGTCGTCCCCAATGAAAAAGGGAAGGGAGACTGCTTCCTTGGAGCCTGCTGGGTGCCGGGCAGTGTGCCCAGGCCGCTGTGCGCTCACTGCTCCGTCTAATCACTCGAGCTGTGGCCACTCAGCAGTGCACAGATGTGCAGCACTGCTGTCTGGAAACTCGTCTGGTTGTGCTTTCCTGACTCTGGTTTGGGCACGAAGTGCCTGCTTCTGCCCTGGGGCCAGTGAAACACCAGGAGGCCTAAAGAGCAAAGAGGAAAGTGCCTTTGAACGTTTATCTGCAGGCAGGACAACCCAGCCAACCCTACCCCCATCCAAGGATGAAAGAGGGGAAAACAAACCCGTGAGGACAGAAAAGAGAAACTGGAACCACAGCACCACCACTAGCCCTGGAGGCAGATGTTCATATTCAAACACTTGTGTGAAAGCAACAGTAGGGTCCTAGCCAGGACACCATGTGGGTGGGGGTCTTGCCCTCAGGGAGGGACCTGGAAGGCTCCGCAAGCTCCATCTTGACCCAAGCAGCACTCTCTCCAGGGAGATGCGCCCAACTCCAGAGGCACCCCAGATGCTATGGGGGCCGCATGGACTTGAAAGAACACTCAAGTTGCTGACCCTTTTTAGTCCTCAACTTCACTTCTGAGGCCAAAAAGAGCATATGTGTGGTTCAAGTGCAGCTTTAATACCTCTCTGGCGTTGCCAACTCCTCAAGAGCAGCTGGGCCTTGGCCTCTGCCAGCCAGCCAGCTGGAGGTAGCTAGATTTTAATGGTTGTGTGAAATTATTTGCTATTTATATGGTAGAATATAGTTTCAAGAGTGAGTTTAAGAAAGTGAGTTTGAGTCTTTGAAAACGTGAGGTAAATGAACATCCCGTGGCTTTGGAGCTGGCTCAGGTGTCGTGTCTAGATTGAGACCCTTTGTGTCTGCTCCAAGCTCTGCATGTCAACCCACACCAGAGTCATGGCTTGGTGGCTCCCAGCTGCTACAATGGCCCCCAGAGCAAGAACTGCAACAGTGAAGTTGGTGCCGTCTCTTGAGGACCGACTGTGTGGCTGCTAAACGTATGTTTAGAGGGCCGCAGGTCACATGAGTCTCCAGCTGCTGCCCATTTTGTTTAACGGGGCTAGGACAGCCCCTGGATACGGGCCCTGCTGAAAGTGCCAATCAGTAAATGTCCACGGAGACATGGTCTGTCGTTCCCATTTAGAGGAACAGCTTCCCCTGTTGCTGCCTCTTCCTGAGGACCTGCTATGCACTTGGCAATCATTCAATCTGAGTAGGCTTTAGAGGGGCCGCTACTGCTGTCCCAGGTCCAGCTCTTCCCTGGCTCTGACAGCCCTGATGTGAACAGTAAGATCTTTCTCTTCCATGTTAGGAGGGAGGGAGACAGTTTACGTGGAAAATGAAAAGCCAACCAGTATATCCATATCCATATTTCAACCATGGGCCCTGGAACCTTCAGGCACTTGTGAGAGCTAGGGAAGATCACCAGGTCTAATGCCCCACTCCTCGTCCTCCTGCGCCCAGGAAACTCGAAAGCCTCAAACACTAAGCATAGGTTGGCTTTGGTCATTTTTATTTCAGGGATTGCTGTTTAAAATACAAGCTCCGTAGGGCCAGGGTTAGGATATAGTACAAGATGCCAGTAGGATGTGCCAGGACATTTTTATTCCAAGTCTGGGAAGCCATGTAATATACCCACAATTTCCACTTTCAGCCTAAATAATAGGAAAAGTTTCATCCTAAACTTCAGATATGAAGTTGACTTACTCACTGAACCTCAACCATGTATTTTTAATAAATCAAAGGTGGAAGCAGGAGTCCTTTTTGGCTATGTTCCAATGGGCATGGCTAACAAATGACTGCTCTCACTGGGGGTCTGCTGCTGCTCTAGAATCCCTCTCCACCTGACTGGGCTTCTGGGTCTGATTTCCTAGAGGATATTGGGACCATGTGGGGTTTTCTTCTCCCTTTTGGCTGCTGTGTCCTCTGTAAATTCATCTTCTGCTTGGAGTGGGGTCTGGTCTATGGGACTCCAGCTGAGAGTTCACAGGGAAACCAGGGAATTCCTTTTAGTTACTGAAGCATCACTTGGGTTACATGGAAAGATAGAACACACAGGAGCCCATTTGTTGTGCTGGATGATGGACTGTAGGATCCTGAAAATGGATATGAGTGAAAGCTTCTTATGATGACAGCCTTTTCCCTTGAGTACTGCAGGTGACTCTGCCAGAACCATTAGGTGTGTGGTCCAGATAAGTCAAATATGAGAACCAGGTCAGGTGACATTAGGAAGTCTTCTGTCTTCAAGACTGAAACACTTTCTAGGAGCTGGCTAAGGCTGGAATTCAAAGGCATGGTGCTTTCAGCCCTTAAGGACTACAATTCTTACCATTCATTCATTTCAGATTCTTGGTTTAAACCTAGCTCCACACTTGTTCCTTATGGTTTACCCCTCACCCCTGAGAAGGCTATTACCTTTTCTGGTTCTCATTCTATCAGCAGGGATCTTTAGAAGCGTGTGTTCCATCTTTCCCACCTGTATCTCAACAAATGCAGCTGTCCCCTGTCAAGCAGCTGCATTCAGGCAAGTGCTGCCCCCCAATCCCAGCTCAGATGCACTACTAGCAGTTCTTGGATTTCCGCTCCTTTCTGGCCCTGGAGGCCATGAGGCTGAAGAAGAGCCCAGGAGCCAGAGTTCGCAGATAAATGGCCAAAGAAGGCAACAGGTCAGCCAGGATCACATCTTTCTTTTTCTTCCCCACAGCAGCCAGAACATCTCGGGCCACCTCCACAGGGCTTCGGCCCTGAGCCGTGGTCTTGTCCATAACTAAAATAAACAAACAAAAAAAAGAAATACATGAACTAGAAGCAGAAGTCCCTCTCTCAAGGACTTGAGCTGACATGGAGCAATGTCAGCTGGATTTGCTGAATTTCCCACCATGAAGCTCTTCCTGCTACCTGTTGGGAGGCAGGTGGTATGCCACCATCCCTGACTATTCTGTACTCCAAAGACATGAGGAAGCCATTGGCTCAGTGCATGTGAGCAGGGAAAGGGGGGACATGGGTGAGACGTGGTAATGACATAAACAGGGGTCCCCCACAATGCTTAGGATCTGGTGGCCCACGACAAAGGACAAAGGCCAGCCCAGATGGGGTCCCAAAGGGTGAGCCCTTCACACATACCAATTCCAGACCTTGGTAATTGTCTATTGGAACAAACAATGAAGGATGGTGTGGCACTGAACTTGTTTCGCGTAGCTTGGCCTGAGGTCTGCCAGATGGGGGATGGGAGAAGACTATGACCCCCGACTGCAGCGAGAGTGAAGTGACACAGGATTTGATGTCACAGGTCCCCACATCATGTGTTAACTGGATAAGGACCAGGAAGAAAGCCTTGGTTTGTTTGAGGTGTTACAGACAGCTGCAGGGAGTTTAGGAGGTATTAGGCTGGTTAAGACCAACCGCCGTTCCTTCTTTCCTGGTAATCTGACAATTTTGCCGACAATGTAGAACCAGCTGGCAGGTGGAGAGGAGAGGCCACTAGCACAGGCCATTTGAAACCATCAGTATGCTGTCCAAACTGCAGGAGCTTCCTCACCAAAATCAGTTCTCATTGTGTTTTTGTTAACACAGAATAGAAGGTTTCTGATTATTGCCTATTTTAAAATGCCACAAAGAGAATTTTTTTAAAAAAAGATTCTTCTGGGTATAAATAAGTATGAACTTCTCTGGCTCTAGGCTACTGTATGGTTTCTGTGGACTTGCTGAGTCAGCAACTATCCAGGGCACGTGCACTCATGGTTCAAGGCTTCCTGGGGTGGAGCAGAAGGCCTGCAGGTGCCCAGTGAACACCACAGCACAGGCCCAGGAGGGCACATCCAGGGAGGCAGGACATGGCAAGCCACTTTTCAAGAGGTGGGGTCATGCAAGCAGGGGAAGGTAGCACCTGCTCCCACAGCAATGTCACGCACAGGTCAGCTGACCTGGAGCCAGGCTCCAGCCCACTAGTGCTGACTCTGACTCAGCTCGCCATGTCTTTGGCTGAAGCAAGGAGACTGAGCCTGGCACACCCGACCTCATGCCAGAAGACTGTGCACTTCTGCTTTGAGTGCTCTGAAATCAGTCATTTCTCAAACACACGGGTGGGGAATCTTTTGGGTCAAGCAACCCATACTTTCCATGAAGTTAACCCACTTTGATTTTACTTTAATTTGGAAGCTTGGCCTCAGGACTCCAAGTCCTGGACCCTGTTCCCACAGCTGCAGTGGTGACACTCAGGCTAAGAATGGCTTGTAGTAAATGACCACCATGCAACAGTATGTATAACCAACACTCACACATCATGGTTTTTAGTTTTAAAAATTACGTTCCAAATGAAACTGACCAAAGAATCATTAGATAAGAGAAGCACATCTCACTGTGGCCAAACAACAGCTTGTCATGGAAGGAAAGACAAACCAGGGCCTCACCTCCATATGTGGACCCGTCCGCAGTGACGGCATTTAGAGAGAGGTTGGTATGGATGTAGCCAGGGCTGATGACAGTCACCTCAATCTCATACTGCTCCATTTCGGCACGAAGACAGTCAAAGAATGCCTGGGTTGCATGTTTGGAGGCTGCATCTGCAAAAGTTCATGGCCAGACAATGCAAGTGAGGGAGAGGGCCTGGGACAAGCCCACATATTCATTCCCTTTCATTTAAAAATTGATAATACAATTTAAGTTACAGTATTATAGCAATGTTCATTTCCTGATTTAGATAAGTGCACTGTATCCTTGTTCTTAGGAAATACCCTGAACTGTATAGGAGTAAAGGAGTGTTGCATCTCCAACCTTCTTTCAAGTGGCTCAGGAAAAAAAAATTATAAATTATATATTAAAAATTTTATATATACACATAGGTACATACATACACACAGCACACATAGACTAGGATAAAGCAAATATGGTCAAATGTTAACTGGGGAATCTGTATGAAGGAGACAAGGGAGTTTTTTGTACAGTTCCTGCAACTTTTCTTTAAATCTGAAATAATTCTTTTTTTTTAAAGATGTATTTATTTATCCTAGAGAGAAAGAGAGAGAGAGAGAGAGAGAGAGAGAGAGAGAGAGAGAGAGAGAGAGCCAGAGAGCACACATGTGCATGAGTAGGGGACAGGCAAAGAGAGAAGGAGAGAATCTCAAGCAGACTCTGTGCTAAGAATGGAGCCCAATGCAGGACCTGACCTCACGATCCATGAGATCACAACCTGAGCTAAAATCATAAGTCAGACACTCAACTGACTGAGCTACCCAGGCACCTCGGAATCTGAAATTATTCCAACGTTAAGAGTTAAAAACAAAAAACAAAAAACAAAAACAAAAACACAATTTAGTGCCTAGTGGGTAAAACATTCACACAGGACAGAGGATATGAAGTAAAAGTGAAAGTCTTTTCTGGCTTCCAGCTCCATTCTCCAGAAGGTAACCTATGCTAATGGTTTCTTAGGATGTACTTTTTATATATCCTATGTATATCTATGTGATTTTACACTTAATGTTTTTTTCTACAGAAATGAGCTCATAGTGTTTATATTATTCCTGCAAGTAGCTTTCTTCAACTAGTGACACAGACAAACAGTCTCTGTGCTGGCCATGCAGGTCCATCATGCTCTCCATGGGTCATGAGACCACTGAACGGACCCCATCAATAGAACTTCATAGGTTGTTTCCAGGTTTTGTCACTGAAACGGTGCTACCAGTGAGCATCCCTGCATGCATGGGAATGTGTGTATAAAATCCATACTCATTTTCTTATGTATTTTGTTTGACAAACTTCCATGAAGTGGCTTTTCATCAGTCTTTATTTTATTTATTTATTTATTCATGAGAGACACAGAGAGAGGCAGAGACATAGGCAGAGGGAGCTCCCTGAAGGGAGCCCGATGCAGGATGTGATCCCAGAACCCTAGGATTATGACCTGAGCCAAAGACAGATGCCCAACCACTGAGCCCTGGGGGCCTGCTTCTCCCTCTGCCTATGTTTCTGCCCTTCTCTCTGTCTCTCATGAATAAATAAAATCTTAAAAAAAAAAAAAAAAAAGGAGCTATCGAGCTTGTTCCAACCTGGTAGAAATAGAGCCACAGCTGCTCTTCAGTCACAGCTCCACAACATGGGGAAAGGTGCTCTGAGTGGGGAGACTGTGACCCGACAATGACATTCTTGGAAAACACACGGCATCTCCACTGAAAGTCAGTTTCCTCCAATTCAGAGTTCTAAATGTTTTAGTCTTAGTAAAGGGGCATTCATCAGCCAAAAAAACAGGAAGAGAAGAAGCAAGGAAATGTCCCAGCAAGTCACAGTGTTGGAACTCACTGCAGAACCTTTGAGGCCAGCAACTTTGGTTCGGGCCAAGTTTCTGGGGGCTGGATGAGTAGTTTGAGGGTAGGCAGGTGGACAGAGATTCTGCTATCAGCTGTGGTCTGCTAGCAGCTATCAGCTGCTATCGGGTACAGCCCAGGACCAAGGACTGAGAAGAATCATCCTACTCCCCAAAATAGAACGCTGCACCATGATGACTGGTCTCCCAGTCTCATGCTGTAAGTCATCAGCCAAGCTGTGCTGACACCCTCACCCACAGCTGTCAACAGTAAGCCCCTATATCCGCAGGGCACGGGGTTCAACATACCACCCAGATCATCTTGCTGGGTCCTCACAATAGCAGTGGGAGGCAGTTAGAGCTGCTCTCCCATTTTGTAGATGAGAAGACTGCTGTTCACCAGGATTAATCCACATGCCCAGGCGCACTGCCACATTCTGTCTGTTTTTTTTTTTTTTTTTAATTTTATTTTTATTTATTTATGATAGAGAGAGAGAGAGGCAGAGACACAGGCAGAGGGAGAAGCAGGCTCCATGCACCGGGAACCTGATGTGGGATTCGATCCCGGGTCTCCAGGATCGCGCCCCGGGCCAAAGGCAGGCGCCAAACCGCTGCGCCACCCAGGGATCCCCCTGTCTGGTTTTTATAAAGTGCCCAGACCAACTATGTGTGACCTACTGCAGGCACAGGCCCAAGTGGAGAAGAAAATTCACTGAGACTAAATCAAAGTAAAGTTTGGAAGTAACTTAGTACAGAGAACACTGCAGAGCCTTTACTCTGATGTACCTGTCATTAGCATTGTACCTCACTTGCTTTATCATTTGTGATTATATTTATTCCTGTTACAGCTGCCTTCAATGGCTGTCCTGCACTGCTGGGAGCTGAAACAATGCTGGCAAACAGGAAAGTACCAACCATAGAAACAAACAGAGATAGAGTGCTTCACAATTCACAAAGGACTCTCCATATCCAGATGTCTTCTTTTATCTTAAACACAGTTTGGTGGAGCGTGTATAAGAACTGTCAGTCTCTTCACCAGCCAGGAAATGGGGGGTCAGAGAAGTTAAATTACTTGCCCAAGAACATGCAAAAGGCAGAGCAGGGGGTCGTATCTTGAGAGAAAGAGGATGTCTTTGTGACAGTTCCAGTTCAGAGAGCTGGCTACACCATGTCATCCAGCTGGATGTCTGCTACTCTCTTCGCCAAGTGCTGACCCAACTCTGCTCTCTCTTCTATCTCTGCCAAGTCTGCAGCTGAGTGAGGCTGAGGCCAGCACTGGGAGGTGGTGAGAGTAGATGAGGCTGCTACATGTCAGGATTGCAGGGGGTGGAGCAGAGAAAGGAGTTACTGGGGAACTTTGTGAAATCACCTTTAAAGTTTTTTTTTTTTTAAGATTTTATTCATTTATTCATGAGAGACACACACAGAGAGAGGCAGAGACATAGGCAGAGGGAGGAGAAGCAGGCTCCCTGCGGGGAGCCCGATGTGGGACTCCATCCCGGATCTCAGGATCGCTACCTGAACTGAAGGCAGACACTCAACTGCTGAGCCACCGAGGCATCCCACCTTTAAAATCTTTTAACAGAACAAGACCAGGCTTCTTTGGTTGCTGGTACAACATGATGGCAGACAGATGAGTGAAATGGTATCTCAAACATCTGAAACATCTGACGCAGTCACTCGTACACGGAGGTGAGAGTGTGAACTGGAAGTCAATTTAGCAGTTTTATTTTTTTTGGTCCCATTTACTATTTCCACTTTTTGGAAACCCTCCCATAAGTGCCCAAAGATGTAAGTATTTAAGGATATTCTAAATAGCACATCATTGCTACTGGTCAAGAACTGAAGGGAAGGGGCAGCCCTGGTGGCGCAGCGGTTTGGCGCTGCCTGCAGCCCAGGGTGTGATCCTGGAGACCTAGGATCAAGTCCCATGTCAGGCTCCCTGCATGGAGCCTGCTTCTCCCTCTGCCTGTGTCTCTGCCTCTCTCTGTGTATCTCTTATGAATAAATGAATAAAATATTAAAAAAAAAAGAACTGAAGGGAAAATAATCCTCATGTGCCCAGGGAAATGGCTAAATAACTCATGTCACATCTGTTCAATGAATTACTATGTACTCACTTAAAAGGATCATGTAACCTGCATATGTTGATGTGGAAAGCTGTGTTGTCCAGTGGAATAAGCAAGCCATGAAACAGTACATATAATGCGATCCCATGTTTGTATGTTTGATCACATGATAGAAGTTTGGAGGTGTGGGCTGCAGAGCAATGCAGTGGTAGTGCCTCTGTGTCCACAGTGAAAACCAATAATGAGACATTAGCTGCCACACACACTGGCACTACACTTAATGGTGCTCACAGACTACCTCCATCTTCCAGCAGCCCTCCAAAGCTGGGACTGCCCTTGTCTCCCTTTTGCAGATGAAGACTGGGGTACAGAGCACAAGGAGGACATTTGCACAAGGTCACGAGGAAGGGGTAAGGAGTAGAGCTGGGATTTGAACCCAGGCATTTTGCTCAGGAGAACACATTCCGATCAAGTCCCTTCATATTATGTGTTAAGTATTTATCTAATGTCTGAATTCTGTATACTAAATGTGCTATTTTTATAATCATGAGAAAACAATAAGGAAAAGCACTTGGGGGAGGGAGAAGGGAGTACTCACATGCAGATCGAAAAGGAATGCTGATCTTGCCCTGGATGCTGCTGATCACAACAATGTGGCCTTGTCGCCTTTTGATCATGGAGGGTAGGAGTGCTAAAGAAAGAGAGCAGAGGCTTTAGAGGAGGATTTTTCTTCTGGTCACTGCAAGCTAATGCTGAGAGGAGGTGACCTTGCTTATTACAAGCAGTCAGAGCCAGGGAGGTAAGTGGGAGATGCTTCTCAGTGGGGCGTACCATGCCTGGTTAGAACTCTCAGGCTCCTGCACCCAGCAGACTGCCAGCCGGAGGGAGGAGGCCAGTGGAAGAGCAGGAAGGAGGCAGAGAGGGAGGTAGGCAGAAGCCTACCCACTAGGAACAGTCAGGTTGGTCCCCTTTTCTAGGGAGAGCCTCTCCCCTTGAGTGGTATCTGTGCCTGGGCACAAAAATAGCCCCATTTTGTATGGGTTTCCAAACACCACTGAAAGGAAATGGAGGCATTGCTGTACAAATAAAGCTGTCACTGAGGAGAAAATCTTGATTTAAGGCTACAAAGCAGATAACGAAAATGCAAATGAAAGCCTGGAGAAAACAAACACCCAAGCTGTAATGACAACACCTATTGCAAGGTAAAATAGATGGAGACAGACAACATCTACCTAAAAATGAATCAAATAAAGTAAAAAGAATGCCAACATATAGTGCTCTTTTTTTCTTTTAATTCAGGACTGTTACCTTTCGTTAGAGCAACTGGGCCAAAGTAGTTTGTCTCCATGACTTTCTTATCCACATCCGTGGTGGTGTCCACAATGGCGCCTCGGTAGCTGATGCCGGCATTGTTGATGAGCACATCCACATAGCCAAAGCACTGCAGGATCTCAGCTGTTGCTGCTATGATGGCCCCAGGGTCTGCGAGGTCAAAGGCCACCATGTAAGGCTTGTGTGTCTGCACCTGGTCAAATTTGACAGAAACCAAATGCACCTTCAGAGTGACAGGCATGTGAACCACATGTCCCCTGCTTTTCAGAGTGCCAGGAGTGGCCTCCTGGGCATGACATGACAGAGGCTCTAGCATTGCTCTTCCAAAGAAATGTGGCCCCAAGGATCCTGCCTACACTGCTCACAACTTGACCTGGACTTTTCCCCTGAATTGAAAATGACTACTAGAGCCAGACTCCCCTTGCTGCCTTATGCCAGAACTGTGCTGTATGTTGTAATTACATTAAACAGTACCCCTACTGAGAGGTGCTATCCTTCTCAGGTTGTCACTTTTGTTCATGAAACATTTTTTATGTATCTCCTACGTGCCAGGCACTGGGGACAGAGCAGAAAGCAAGACAAAATACAGTTCCTCTCTTCCAGAAGCATACTGTTTACTGAGGAAGACAAATTCCATAATTGTAAAGGATATCATGAAGAAGTAGAAGATGCTAGAGAAATGAATAACTGAGCAATCTAACATATAGGGCTTCCCAATGGAAGTGAGTTTAACAAGAGATCCAAAGGAGGAATGGGGATATGAAATCAGAGAAGATGGCAGAGTAGGAAGTGCCAGGAATCTGCCTTTTTTTTTTTTTTTTAATCTGCCTTTCTATCTGGATGCTATACTGGCAGAAACTCTCCAAAGTGACAATTTTGGAACTCTAGAGTCTACCTGAATGCATGCAGCTTCCAGGGCAGTGCTTGGCTGGAAAATTATAATAATTGTGGTCAGTTCTAGTCATCACCTTGGTGGTAGCTTTCTACCTCCCAGTCCTGCATCCTTGTGGCAGGCAGCTGAGGGAAGACAACCAACGTTTCTGGTACAGCTTGGGGGAGCCAAGGTAGACAATAAGGATCTTGTCTTCTAAAAATCAGGGTTCTGTTCTGATGGATCACTGAGGGGTGGCACGGAGGCAAGATGCATTATTTTAACCACCACTGGCTAAAATTGGTTCCAATAGATTCGAAGGAGTTACACCTGTTGTTCTGATATTCAAAAATATAAATAAATCCCCAGGAAATATACCTGAGGAAGCCCCACATGATGGACTTACTAGACAAAGATTTTTAAAACAAATATCTTACAAGATCCTCAAAGTTCTAAAGGAAGACATGGATGAAGGCAAGAAATTGATGTATAAACAAAGTGAATATTGTTAAAGAAATGCCATCAAAGGAACAAATTATAAAAAAATTCTGGAGCTCAAAAGTACAATGACTGTAATAGAAAATATACAAGTTCAAAAGCACATTTGAGCAAGCAGAAGAGTGAATCAGTGGAACTGAAGAGAGGATGGCTGAAATTACTGAGTCTGAGAACAAGAAAAAAAATGAAGATAAGTAAACAGAGCCTAAAAGATCTGTGGGATACCATCAAGTGGACCAATAGACACACTGTGGGAATCTGACAAGAAGAACAGAGATAGGGGAAGAAAGAATATCTTGGGGAGCCCCGGTGGTGCAGTGGCTTAGCACTGCCTGCAGCCAGAGGTGCGATCCTGGAGACCCAGGATCGAGTCCCACGTCATGCTCCCTGCATGGAGCCTGCTTCTCCCTCTGTCTCTCTTCTCTCTCTCTCTCTCTCTCTCTCTCTCTCTCTCTCTCTCTATGAATAAATAAATAAAATATTTTTTTTAAAAAATCATAAGAAATAATTGCTGAAAACATCCCAAACTTGATGAAAGACATGAATCTACACATTTAAGCAGCTCAACACCAAGTTGGATAATTTCAGAGGCCCACACGAAGACACATTATAATCAAACTGTCAAAGACAAAAAAAAAAAAAAAGAATCCTGAAAACCGCAGGAAAGACCTACTCTCACATAACAGGAATTCTCCATAGGATGATGAGTTGATTTCTCATCAGAAACCCTGGAGGCTAGAAGACAGTGGGTTGATACATTAAAAGGGATGAAAGAAAAAACTGTCAACCAAGAATTCTGTATCTGGCACAACCATCCTTCAAAAAATGAGGGAGAAATTAAGATTCCCAGATGAACAAAACCTGAGGGAGCTAGTTATTACTAGACCTGCTCCGCAAGAAATACTAAAGGGAGTCCTTCAGGTTTGAACTGAAAGGAAGCTAGCAATGTAACTCGAAGCCATATGAAGAAATAAAGATCTCTGGGAAAGTAAATATATGGGCAGTTATAAAAGCTATTATTGGAATTTTGGTTTGTAACTCTGCTCTTTACTTTTTACATACTTTAAAGACAAATTTTTTTTAAAGATTTTATTTATTTATCCATGATAGGCACAGAGAGAGAGAGAGAGGCAGAGACACAGGCAGAGGGAGAAGCAGGCTCTACACCGGGAGCCTGACACAGGACTTGATCCCGGGACTCCAGGATCACACCCTGGACTAAAGGCAGGCACTAATCTGCTGAGCCACCCAGGGATCCCCTAAAGACAAATTTTTTTAAAAACTACCATTGGTCCATTAATGGTCAAGCAATGTATGAAGATGTAATCCATGAAGTGAATAACAGAAATGGGGGAGGACAGAGCTGTAAAACAGAATTTTTTTTTGCTCTAAATTCCCTTAGAAACCACAAAACAATAGCTAAGAAATGATAAGAAATGAGAAGGAAATCAAAAATATTTCACTACAAAAAAATCAACTAAACACAAAAGACAGTAACGCAGGAAATGAGGGACAAAAAAAGCTATAAAGCGTACAGAAAACATAGCAAAATGGCAGAAGTCCCTCCTTACTAGTAATTACTTTAAATATAAACAATTTAAATTCTCTCCTCAAAAGACTGATAGCTGGAGTTTTTAAAAAATCCAACTCTATTCTGTCTTTAGAGACTCATTTTAGATCCAACAATATAATTAGGCTGAAAGTAAAAGGATGAAAAAAGGTTATTCCATATAAATAATAACCAAAAGAGAGGTGGAGTGGCTATACTAATATTAGAAAAAAATAGGCTTTAAATTGGAAAAGGTTACAAGAAACAAAAAAGGACATTATATACAAGCATACCTCGAGATACTGCAGGTTTGGTTTCAGATTGTCACTGTACAGCAAATATCTCCGTAAAGCAAGTCAAAGGAAGTTTTTGGTTTCCCATTAGATACAGAAGTTATGTTTACAGTATATTTTAGTTTCTTAGTGTGCAATATCATTATGTCTAACAAATCAATGTACATATCTTAATTTAAAAATATTGTTAAAAGTGTGAACCATCATCTGAACTTTCAGTGAGTTGTAATTGTTGATCATAGATCACCATAACAAATTAGCAATAGTGAAAAAATTTAAAATATTGTGAGAATTACTAAAATGTGACACAAGACACAGAGATATGAAGTGGGCAAATGCTGTTGGAAAAATGACATTGATAGACCAGATCAATACACAGTTATCACAAAACCTCCAATTTGTAAAATACGCCATATCGGCAAAGCACAATAAAGTGAAGCACAATAAAATAAGGTAAACCTATAATAATAAAAAGGTATTCAATATAGCAAAAAAGTGTAATAGTTTTATTTTTTTTTAGTATAATAGTTTTAAATATTTATGCACCTAATAATAGACCTTCAAAATATATGAAGCAAAATCAACAGAACTGAAGGGAGAAATACACAGTTCTATAATAATACTGAGGTATTTCCTTTTTTAAATATTTTATTTATTTATTCATGAGAGACACAGAGAGAGAGGCAGAGACATAAGCAGAGGGAGAAGCAGGCTCCCCATGTGGGACTCAATCTCAGGATCCTGGGATCATGACCTAAGCAAAAGGCAGACACTCAACCACTGAGCCACCCAAGTACCCCAATATTGTGGTATTTCAATACTGGATAGAACAACAAATCAGAAGATCAATTACAAAACAGACGACCTGAACACTATAAATCAATAGGCCTGAACAGACACATATAGAACATCCCACCCAACAGCAGCACAACACACATTCTTCTCAAGCACACCTGTAACATTCTCCAGGATATACCGCATAACACATGTTAACAGATTAAAAAAGATAGATACCATTTAGAGCGTCTTCTTCAACCACAGTGTGATGAAGCTAGAAGTCAGTAACTGAAGGTAAACTGAAAAATAAGTAGAAATTAAACAACACACTCTTAAAGAGCCACTGACTCATAAAAGAAATAACAAGGGAAATTAGAAACTATTTAGACACAAAGGAAAATGAAAACACAATATCCCCAAACTGTACAGGATACAGTAAAAGCAGTAGTAAGAGGGAAATATATAACTATAAATGCCTACATTAAAAAAAAAAAATTCAAACCAGTAACATAACTTTACACCTTAGGGAACTAGAACAGAGCAAACTAACCTGAAAGCTAGCAGAGAAAGGAAATGATAAAGGTTAGAGAGGAGGTAAAATAGAGAGTAGAAATAAAGAAAATCATGAAAACAAAGTTGGTTCTTTGAAAAGATTGACAAAATTGAGAAACCATTAGCTAGACAAAGAAGGAGAGGATGGAGCAGGTCCCTACCTAGATAAAACAGATTATAATACAATGAACACTTGTATGCCCACAAATGAAATAACCTAGTCTAGGAAAATTGAACAAATTCCTTGAAACACACAAATTACCTAACTCAAGAAGAAATAGAAAAGCCCAGCAGACATAGAACAGGTAGAGAGATTGAAGCAATAACCTAAAACCTCCCAACAAAGAAATGTTGGGTACCAGATGGCTTCATTGGCAAATTTTACCAAACTTTAAAGAAGAATTAACACCAACACTTCTCATACTCTTCCAAAAAACTGAAGAGGAAGGAGAGAACACTTTTTAACTCATTCTGTGAGGCCAGCATTACTCTGATACCAAGTCCAGATAAAGCCATCACAAGAAAATTACAGACCAATGTCCTTTATGAATATAGTTGCTAAAATCCTCAACAAAACAGTGTATGTTCTCATTCATTTGGGGAATATGAATAATAGTGAAAGGGAATATAAGGGAAGGGAGAAGAAATGTGTGGGAAATATCAGAAAGGGACACAGAACATAAAGACTCCTAACTCTGGGAAACGAACTAGGGGTGGTGGAGGGGGAGGAGGGCGGGGGGGGGGTGGGGGTGAATGGGTGACGGGCACTGAGGGGGACACTTGACGGGATGAGCACTGGGTGTTATTCTGTATGTTGGTAAATTGAACACCAATAACAATTAATTTATTAATAAAATAAAATAAAATAAAATCCTCAACAAAATACTAGCAAATCAAATTCAACAGTATACTGAAAAGATTATTCACCATGAACAAGTGTGATTTATCCTAGGAACACAGGGGTGGTTCAACATCAGAAAATCAATCAATATATCATATTGATAGAACAAAGGAGAAAACTACATCATCATTACAATTGATGCAAAAAAGAGATTTGACAAAATCCAACATCCTTTAATGATAAAAATTTAGAAAACCAGGAATGGGGGGAAATTCAACATAGTAAAGGACGTTTATGAAAAACCTACAGCTAATATATGTTCAAAGGTATAAGATATGAAGTGTTCCCCCTATGACTAAGAACAAGACAAGGATGCTTGCTTTCAACACAGTACTAGACTTCTAATCAGAGCACTTAAATACATAAGAACAAGAAATAAAAGGCACTCAAATTGGAAAGGAAAAGGTAAAACTATTCACAGATGACATGATCCCATATATAGAAAATCCCAAGGAATCCAAAGAAAGCCATTAGAGCTAATATAATTTAATTCAGAGTTGCAGGGTACCAGATCAACATATACAAATCAGCTATGTCTCTATACACCGGCAATGAATAATCTGAAAAGGAAATTAAGAAAGCAAATCCATTTATAATACCAGCTAAAAGAATTAAGTATTTGGGAATAAATCTAACGAAAGAGGTCAAAGATTTGTATGTAAACAATACAAAACACTCCTGATAGAAATGAAAGAAAACATAAATACATGGGAGACATCTCATGTTCATGGACTGGAAAACTTAATATTGTTAAGTAGTCAATAACTACCCAAAGTGAGCTACAGATTCAACGCAATCCCAATGAAAATAATTGCATTTTAGGGAGGAAATAGAAAAAAAAAATCCTAAAATCCATATGGAATCTCAAAGGTCCCCACATAACCAAAACAATATGAAAAAAAAAAAAAAAAAAACAACACACAGCTGGGAGATTCACTTCCTGATTTCAAAACTTACTGCAAAGCTACAGCAATCAGCAGTGTGGTACTGGCATAAAGACAGACATATACAGCAATGAAATAGGATGGAGAGCCCAGAAATAAATGCTCCCATACATGGCCAAATGCCTGTTGATGGGGGTGCCCAGACTACTGAAGCAGGAAAGAACAATCTTTTCAACAACTGGTGCTGGGAAAACTGGATATGCACATGCATAGAATGAAGTTGAAATCTTACCTAACACTGTATACAAAAATTAAATCAAGTGGATCAAAGACCTAAATGATGGAGTTAAAACTACAGAACTCTTAAAATAAAACATCAGGGAAAATCTTCCTAACATGATGTGTCAACAACCTCATGGGTATGACACCAAAAGTATAGGCAACAAAAGAAAAAATAAACTGGGCTTCATCAAAATTAAAAAAACTTTTTGGTATGCTTGGGTGGCTCAGTTGGTTGGGCATCTGACTCTTGGTTTTGGCTCAGGTCATGATCTCAGGGTCATGAGATTGGGCCCTGCATCAGGCTCCACGTTCAGCATGGAGTCTGCTTGAGATTCCTTCTCTCCCTCTGGCCCTCCCGCATGCTCTCTCTCTAAAATGAATAAAATCTTAAAAAAAAAAAAAAACTTTTTTACATCAAAGGATACTGTCAAGAAAGTAAAAAGACAATCTTCTGGGGAAGCCCAGGTGTCAGCAGTTTAGCACTGCCTTCAGCCCAGGGCATGATCCAGGATACCCAGGATCAAGTCCCACATCGGGCTCCCTACATGCAGCCTGCTTCTCCCTCTGCCTGTGTCTCTGCCTCTCTCTCTCTCTCTCTCTCTCTCTCTCTCTCTCTCTGTGTGTGTGTCTCATGAATAAATAAACAAAAATCTAAAAAAAAAAAAAAAAGACAATCTACTGAATGAGAAAAAATATTTGCAAATCATAGACCTGATAAAGGATTACTATCCAGAATATATAGAGAACTAAACTCAACAACAAAACCAAACAAGCTGATTTAAAAGGACAGAAAAGGGACTGGAAAAGACATTTCTCCAAAGACATATAGTCAGTAAGAACATGAAGAGATGCTTGACATCATTTGTAATTAGGGTAATGCAATCAAAACCACAATGAGATACCACTGTATATCTCCTGGGATGGTTACAATTAAAAAACAAACAAAAGAACAAGTATTGGCAAGGATGTGGAAAAAGCAAAACCTTTGTGTGTTGTTAGTGGGAATGTAAAATGGTACAGCTGTTGCAGAAAATAGTTGACAGTTCTTCAAAATGTTATACACAAGACCCAGCTGTTTCACTTTTAGGTATATATTCACAAAAATTAAAAGCAAGGACTCAAACAGATAATGTGTATAGTTATGTTCACTGCACTATTATTCACAATAGCCACAAGGTGTGTACATCTACACGTACACATGTACATCTAGTGTACATCAACAAATAAACAAAATGTTGCATATATGTACACTGGAATATTACTCTGCCATAAAATGGAATAAAATTTTGATACATGCTACAATAATGGATGAACCCTGAAAACCTAATGTTCAATGAAATAGCCAGACACAGGGGGATCCCTGGGTGGCTCAGCGGTTTCGCACCTGCCTTTGGCCCAGGGCGCCATCCTGGAGTCCCGGGATCGAGTCCCGCATCAGGCTCCCAGAATGGAACCTGCTTCTCCCTCTGCCTGTGTCTCTGCCTCTCTCTATATATATGTCTATCATAAATAAATAAAAATAAGTCTTTAAAAAAATAGCCAGACACAAAAGACAAATATATTTTCTACTTATATAAGGTATCTAGAATAGGCAAATACATAGAAAGCAGAATAGAGGTTTCCAGGCACTGGGGAGAGGGAAGGGAGAGTGAATTATTAATAGGTACAGAATTTTATGGGAGATGATAAAAAGGTTTTAATATAGAAAGTGGTGATAGTTACACACATTCTGAATGCGTTTAATGCCACTGAATTGTATACCTACAAGTGGTTAAAATGATTAATACTGTGATATGTATATTTTACTTATATGTATATCTTTATATGTGCATAAGTACTATGTTATGTACACTTTTCCACAACTAAAATTTTAGAATTCATGGTCAACCTCCTCCCATTTCCCCACCATAGAAAGATGAATAGGTATTAGCCAGGTAAAGAGGGAGTGGAAGCATTCATGGAGGGAACTGCCTAAACTCAGTGACTCAGTGCCACTAAGTGGCAGAGGTAAGATCTGAACCTTGTGACCATCCCCTATCCTCAGGCAACGGAGATCTGCTGCCTCTGCTGGTACAAAGTGACCATGTGGATGCCCCATATGTGCAGCAGCAGCCCAGGACTGGCCACTATCTCCTTGGACACCTGCAGATGATGGACTGTGCCTCTGGCCCACAGAAAAACACCCCTGGGCTCACCCTGGTGGCTGGAGAAGCTGTAAGTTCTTTGGTGAGCTCTTCTAGGGCCTTCCGGTTTCGGCCACAAAGCACCAGCTTAGCACCCGCAGTATAGAAGACTCTGGCACATTCTATAGAAAAGAGAAAAAAATCTTGACAGTTGAAGAAATTCAATGCCTTTCTTCCCCAGTGCAGGTCAGACCAAATTCATTTGATGTTTCAGAGTATGAATTTGTTTCTTTGTGCACTGTGCACGTGTGTATTTGCCCTTGCTATGGACCAGGTGTGGAGCTAGGAGACAAGCCTCCAGTGATAAATGAGCCCTGTTGTTGCCCTAGGAGAGTCCACATCAGTGGTATGGCAGACGCCAAGGCAAGAGGAAGTCTGGGACTGCTGGACAGGTTTATTAGGTACCACACTCAGCTTTTCCACAATGATCTTTAGCTCTGAACAACGCTGGGAGCATTACCCCCTTTTTCACAGCTGAGGAAGTCAGAAAGGTCAAGCTATGTGCTCAATGATCCGGCAGCACCGGCTACTGTGAGGCTGGGGTCTGCCGAGGCCTGCGCTCTGGCACAATCCAGGCTGTTTGCCAAGGTGCTGCGATGCAACAGGTACAGATCTACAAGGGTAGGTGAGTGCTTACATGGTCTGTACAAGCACAGGGAACACAGGGCTCTGTTGAGAAGGGACCGGGGGCCCCAAGGAGCTGTTTCTCTGGAAAGGGCTCAAGGCTAAGGGAGCGGAGTTTACAAAACGCCTGAGGGGCCATGGACAGATACATCTGGGACACAAAGTGGAGAGTCTCGTAGCCTTGCTAGGCTGGGAAATGACAAACAAGTTTGAAGAGTTGAAGCGTACGGAGTGCCCACAATGGTGAAAGATCAGGGGTTTTTTTGTTTTTGTTTTTCATTTTTTTATTTTTTGAAAGATCAGTTTAAAAGGCTGGGGATGGTTGAGAAGGAAGGGGACTGGTGGAGATCAGGCTCTGGTGAACCCACTCCAACTAAAGGGCATCAACTGGAGACCAGGGTACCTCTACTACTCAGTGTTCTTTGGTGGCAATAAAAGAGACACAATTCACACTGGGGCAAAAAAAAAAAAAAAAAAAAGAGAGAGAGAGATTTATCAGGAGGATGCCAAAATTAAAAGAGCTAAGTGGCTAAGACTTGGAGGGACAGGCATGGTGGTTGCCCAGGGCCACTGGCAGCAGGAACCAGGGTCTCAGTGCTGGCATTGCCTTTTCTCCACTTCATCTCCCTGACCTGGCTTCCCCCAAGATGAGAACAGGGCTGCAGGCAGCTCTGAGTCACATCAACACAGCTCCCCTGCAAGACAGGAGAGGGGTCGCTTAGGCAAGCTCTGCTGCCAAAATCCCAGGGTGTGACTGTGACCTGCCATTGTGGGGTGGCATCTCGAGGACTAGCTCAGCAAGGGTCACAGGCAAATCTCATGAGGCCGAGGGGGAAGGGCAAGGAGGGGAAACCTCCAGAACTGGGACTTAACCTGTGGGGGAGAGGGTGGAGGAAGATCTCTTGCTTCTTGCTTGCTCTGAGCCCAGACATGGCCTAACTAAATGTTGTTCACTGCCCTGAAAACATACAGCTTGTAAAAAGCAGTGCAGCCCAGTGGTCAAGGGAATGGACTCAAGCTAGACCTCCTACACCCAATGTCGACCTTGGTCACTTCCTGGTTCTATGATCTTGGGTAAGTTATAACCTCTGTGCTTCTCATTTTCCTCTTTTATAGAATACAGGTAGAAATAGCACTGGGACTGAATGAGTAAAAGTAGATATAATTCAGTAGAGAAAAAGCACTATAGAAAAAAGCACCATAGAAGTGTTCATTGTTTTCATATTTCTAAGCTGCCTTTTTAAAATGTTCTAAAAACTGTTGGAGAAAACTGAAACCCAAGGGTTAAAAGAGGCACTGCCTGTCCACACCTGAGGGTTGGTCTCCCTCAAACACCCACAGGCAGATTTGCACAGACCCCTTGGCCCCTAGCCAACCAAACAGCCAGTACTCCACCTGCTGTGTCCTGGACTGAATCTTACAGGCTCAAGCAGTCATGTGTGGTCTAGTACCCAGGCTCAGAGAAAGGACAGGCCTGCCCTGGGAGCCGTGCAGCAAGTGGTTGAGGGATTAAGCCTATCACTTCCTGGCTGGGAGGGGAGGACATTGTAGGGTCCAGTCAGGATGTGCTGGCCTGACAGCCTTTCCCCCACAAAAATGCCAAAAGCTAGAAGGGTTCAAAACAGGAGGGGAAAATAAACTCCAGCATCCTTCAGGAAAGCAGAGAAAAAGTTCTTTGATGTCTGCCCTGTCTCATGGTGCGAAGCCCTCTCTGTGCCCTCTACAGCTCCTCCTTTAGCTCCTCTTACAGCTTTCACTTAGCATTCCCAGACCAGCACCTCCTGGCATGTATCCAGATGGAGTTTTCTGGAAGGGCTAAGGAGACTAAATCAAGACATTTTCAGGTGTCCTGTATCACCTTCTTTGAAGATTTGGTTGGTGTGTTCAGTGGCTCATCCTGACACAGAGCACAATACCAGACAGAGCTGTAGCCCCTGCTCTGCTTGTCCCTGGATGGTCCAGTAGAGGTCCCAGCCCCTGCCCAGTCTGCCTTGCTGTACTTCCTCAGCAGAGCAGCTCATGCCTTACAGGGATGGGGGTGGTGCCTGCACTCAAAGCCAGACACCGGCATTCCTGAGGCTACAACTGCTCATGTGGTTTACTAAATCATTCCCAAAGAGGAGGAATCTCAGGCACTGTTGGCCTCCTCAACCCATTTCATCCTGACCTGATACAATGGACATTTTGTGAGGTGTCACCAGAGTGCAGAGATGCAAAACCCAAGGTGGGGAGAGGCACACTAGTCTCTAAACGGCTTCTGGAAAATGGTCACGTACATTCTGCTTAAGCTTTACTTCCTAGCACAGCCAAAAAAGGGAGGAAATTGAAGTCTGTGTAGGGAGTGACAGAAATGAAAACAACAGATTGCAAGGATTCCATTTTCATTTCTTGAAAAAGCTGACACAGGGAGGCAAGGGTCAAGGGAAAAAGGAAAACAGTCCCAAAGTACCATTTATCTAGCTAGGGCTGCCAGACGATTCTCCAGGGCTGCCGGCATCCTGGCTTGTTAAATCAAGAGAGTTATTCACGCCCTCAGGGCTTATGCTGGCTAAAGTGGGTATCCAGAACATTCTGTTCCTTTAGTCAATGGTCTTACTGTTTTACAAGGATAAGCCCATGTCGCTTAAATATACAAAATAAGAGACAAAACAGGAGAAATACAGAAAGCTATCTGAAGACTTATCACATAATCCAGGCTTTCACAGCCGCTGACATGGCAGGCAGAGCAGAGCCTGGGCAACTCACACTCTTCTGCGAAAGCTGAGGTGCAACAGTGCCTCCTCAGCGGTCACCCACAGAGGCATTTGCACTTGAGACGGCTAGTTAAGAATCTGTTCCTATTATATCTGGCCAAAGGGGAAAGAGATCCATGGACTCTTGTCTCAGATGTTAAACGGGGAGCATATAAGCAGAATGATTTGGAATCAGGAAATGGCGGACCTGGGCAGCCCCGGTGGCGCGGCGGTTTAGCGCCGCCTGCAGCTCAGGGCGTGATCCTGGAGACCCTGGATCGGGTCCCACATCGGGCTCTCTGTATGGTGCCTGCTTCTCCCTCTGCCTGTGTCTCTGCCTCTCTCTCTCTGTCTCTATGAATAAATAAATAAAATCTTTAAAAAAAAAAAAAAGGAAATGGCGGACCTAATATATGACATAAATACACACACACACACACACACACACACACACACACACACAGGTTTTGTTTTTCTTTCGATTGTATTTTCTATTCCCCGCACAATCTTGGTTTCCAGAAGAGGAAATGTAGAATGACGAGGACAGTGTCTTTCTCCAATATTCACGTATTGAAGCCCCTGCAAGTCACCATCTCAGCCAGCTCTCAAATACTCTTCAAGGACTTTTTAAAAAAAAAGCTTCTCTCTGAGATCAAGAGAAGTGGCTGCTGACTACCCTATATATAGTAGCTGAGTAAGGTCAGAGGACTGACCATGGCAAAGCTGGAGGCAGCTGTCCCCATGCAGGTCTGGGTATCGAATGACAGGCCCAGGGTTCACCCCCGGAGACCTCACCTAAAACATCAGAGTGGCGTATAAATGAATCTGTGCTACCTAAAGCCTCCCCAGGCTTCCCTTAGCCAACTGCAAGCAGACAAGGCCCCGTCTGTTCTTTAAGATCTTGTGACACCCAAGTGCTTTCCAGCCCTACATGACTGTGTTGCTCCCTGCTCTGGGCTTGTCTGCTATGCCCTCCTTGCTGGACCATGCTTCTCCTTTCCCTGACCATCTCCCCCAGGGGAGATAATACTGAGTCCTGCAGTCAGATGTGGGGCTTGAATCTAGAAGTCCTAGGGCACATCTGCATCATAGCTGTGAGAGTTCAGTGAGATAAAGTGTAAGCCCCCTACTGGGCCTGGATGGAACACCCATTACTGAAATGTCTATATACTGACATAAGTCCTTGCCACTCCCCCTCAGATGTGAACTCCCTAAGAGAAGGGACCCTGTCTTTCCTTCGTGTGTCCCAGCATTTGGCCCAGAGCCTCACAAATGGCCCAGATGCTCAATCAGCGTTGGCTGTGGTACTACCAACCACAAGATGCAGCAGGGATGGGTTTACTGCAATTCTGGGTGCCTCTCAGCTTTCTTCCATGGCATCAAGAGCCAGTGTGGATGGAAGACCAGACCAGTGGATGGATGTGGTGTGGGATGGGAGCAGATGCTGAGGAGGAGGAAGCTCCATTTGACGTGCCTGCATCGGCCCCTGGTACTCTGCCAAAGTCAGCGTACATGTGTGGAAGGGAAATGACAGCAGCTCTACAAACTCATCTGGATGAGGTCAGGGGTGGTGACTGACTCTGGGCCTGTATTCCAGCATACAACCTCAGGACTAAGAGGCTTGACATGTTCACTAAAACAGAGAGAACTAGTGATGCCTGGGTGGCTCAGTGGTTGAGCATCTGCCTTCGGCTCAGGGTCTGATCCCGGAGTCCCAGGATCAAGTTCTGCATCAGGCTCCCTGAATGAAGCCTGCTTCTCCCTCTGCCTGTGTCTCTGCCTTTCTCTCTCTGTGTTTCTCATGAATAAATATATATATAAACTTAAAAAAAAATAAAACAGAACTAAATTGAAGAAGTGAGGTAAGGAACAGCTGAAATGTCACTTACTCTGTTTCCGACCTTGCCAAGGCCACACTCAAGGTATAGCTGAAGGCACAGCCCCAGTGAGAGGAAGGTGAGGGGGAGGCAACGCCAAGGCCATGGACTGGGGATGCTGACTGAATCCAGTAAAAAGCATGCTTTGGCCCCTCAGCGGTAAAACTGTTTTTTAAATTAGTGGCCATATTTGATAATTGGGAGCCTTCACATAAAAACCCCTATTTCGTCATCAAGACAGTGTGGTACTGGCACAAAAACAGACACACAGATCAATGGAACAGAATAGAGAATCCAGAAGTGGACCCTCAACTTTATGGTCAACAATATTCAACAAAGGAGGAAAGACTATCCACTGGAAAAAAGACAGTCTCTTCAATAAATGGTTGCTGGGAAAATTGGACATCCACATGCAGAAGAATGAAACCAGACCATTCTCTTACACCAGACACAAAGATAAACTAAAAATGGATGAAAGATCTTTTTTTTAAATTTTTTTTTATTTTTATTTTTTAATTTATTTATGATAGTCACACAGAGAGAGAGAGAGAGGCAGAGACACAGGCAGAGGGAGAAGCAGGCTCCATGCATCGGGAGCCCGATGTGGGATTCGATCCCGGGTCGCCAGGATCGCGCCCTGGGCCAAAGGCAGGCGCCAAACCGCTGCGCCACCCAGGGATCCCCTGGATGAAAGATCTTAATGTGAGACAAGATTCCATCAAAATCCTAGAGGAGAACACATGCAACACCCTTTTTGAACTTGGCCACAGCAACTTCTTGCAAGATACATCCATGAAGGCAAGAGAAACAAAAGCAAAAATGAACTATTGGGACTTCATCAAGATAAGAAGCTTTTGCACAGCAAAGGATACAGTCAACAAAACTAAAAGACAACCTACAGAATGGGAGAAGATATTTGCAAATGACGTATCAGATAAAGGGCTAGTATCCAAGATCTATAAAGAACTTATTAAACTCAACAGCAAAGAAACCAACAATCCAATCATGAAATGGGCAAAAGACATGAACAGAAATCTCACAGAGGAAGACACAGACATGGTCAACAAGCACATGAGAAAATGCTCCGCATCACTTGCCATCAGGGAGATACAAATCAAAACCACAATGAGATACCACCTCACACCAGTAAGAATGGGGAAAATTAACAAGGCAGGAAACCACAAATGTTGGAGAGGATGTGGGAAAGGGGAACCCTCTTACACTGTTGGTGGGAATGGGAACTGGTGCAGCCACTCTGGAAAACTGTGTGGAGGTTCCTCAAAGAGTTAAAAAGAGATCTGCCCTACGACCCAGCAATTGCACTGCTGGGGATTTACCCCAAAGATACAGATGCAGTGAAATGCCGGGACACCTGAACCCCAATGTTTCTAGCAGCAATGTCCACAATAGCCAAACTGTGGAAGGAGCCTTGGTGTCCATTGAAAGATGAATGGATAAAGAAGATGTGGTCTATGTATACAATGGAATATTACTCAGCCATTAGAAACGACAAATACCCACCATTTGCTTCGACGTGGATGGAACTGGAGGGTATTATGCTAGTGAAATAAGTCAATTGGAGAAGGACAAACATTATATGGTCTCATTCATTTGGGGAATATAAAAAATAGTCAAAGGGAATAAAGGGAAAAGGAGAAAAAATGAGTGGGAAGTATCAGAAAGAGAGACAGAACATGAGAGACTCCTAACTCTGGGAAACAAACAAGGGGTGGTGGAAAGGGAAGTGGGCGGGGGGTAGGGGTGACTGGGTGACGGGCACTGAGGGGGGCACTTGATGAGATGAGCACTGGGTGTTATTCTATATGTTGGCAAATTGAACACCAATAAAAAATAAAAATAAAAACTATTTCCACAACTAGCTGGAGTGGAATAAGGTGGCCCCCTTTGATGAAATACTTGAGTCTTCAGTTTGCCACAGTCCTCCTCAGGGCTTTTGCTTCCCAATACTGATGCTGAAAGTCAGGGGCCATTTCTCATTGCACTTAAGCTCTCGCCTTTTCCACGTGGACCAGAGGCAATAACATACTCTTGTTCCAAGTTACTTAGCCTGTTGCACTTATTTGCACACGTGCAGCGGAGCTGCTCCTGGTGCCTGGGCTCAGTTCCCTGCCCCCTGGCAGCACTGCCCCCAGGACCTACCTCGCCCCAGGCCTGAGGTAGCACCCGTAATGACCACCACAGCGTTCCGGAGGTAGGCCCTCATGCGGATCCGTTGCAGCAGCTTGAAGAGGCTAAAGATTCCCACACAGCCAAACAGCAGGGGCAGGATGGCCGTAGAGGTAATAAAGTCCATGATCCTCACCTTCAGCAGACTCTTCCTGAAAGAACCCAAATCAAATAATTTTGTGACAAAACAGAAAAATTCCAGGGACTTGCCAGCCCTCCTCCCCCTAGACTAATAATACAGAGCCCAGAACTCTCTTGTGTGGACTTTAGCTCTCAGCCCAGCACTATCTTTTTAGGCCTGTTTTCTATGCCAACGGCTCAGCACCATTGCTTTCTCTCACTTTGACTGACATGAGCAAACAGCAAAGCCACAGGCCTTGAGATGCCTCTCAGAGGCACCCAGCGACCCCAGAACAGAGAGTCATTCAGTGAGGGACCCAGTTACCTATGAGTGTGACAGGAGGCTCGGGTATAACCACACTCACCTGATTCTCCCTATTTAGGGAGACCTAAGTACATCCATTATCATTTTCAACCCCATTTGTGAAACTAGAAAACATTTTTTAAAAAAGGATAAAGAAAATCATGCCAATCCTTCTGCTCTTCCCTAAGCAGATGGAGGTTTCTGGGTGGGGTGTGCCCTGGATGGTCTCTGCGATGGCCTGTAAATGTCCTCCTGGCCATAGGCCTCACAGTCACCCAACGGGAATTCAGTGCAGAGGGGAGCTGCCCTTTGCCAAGCGTAGGCGCAGACTCAGGCTGAGAAGCGGGATGCCCTGCCATGCACTGTGGCGTATTCTCACTTAGCATTTGCCACGGAGCCATGATCAACCAGATGAAATCAGAAGTTTACAGGAGCCATCTATGTGACAGCAGCAATCAATTCTTAGGATCCATTCCTTCCACGACTGCCCCAAATTCCCTTACTCTCCCAAGCCTCCTGATTCCTTGTCACTCACCCATGCCCCCATTGAACAAGGCAAGCTAAGAGAGGAGGGAGACGAAGGATTAAAAGAAGGTCAAGGATGAGCCAGTGAGGAGCAACACCATGTCTGTCACTTTGAAAAAAAAATGCCCTGTAAGGCTATTTGACAAGTGGGCTGAGTCTATTACACAAAAGGCCCTACACCCACAGTCCTCCTCCAGGACTGAGACATCATGAGCATAGTAATCTTGTTCAGGAAGGAAGAGGCTGGAAACCAAAAGCAGAGCTCCTATAAAGCAGCCTAAAGCTTTCAACGCTTCATCAGATTAGGAGTAACTATGTCAAACCCTTGCTCATCTGCTGAATGTACCATGTCCTCAACTTCATATATTAAAAAAAATATTTCTGCTTCCATTCCAAGACAACATCAACTCTGTGGGTACCACAAAGCCAGAAACCCACTGAACCCCAACACAGATCCACTTACGTGCTGAGCTGCTTTGGTCTTGAACCTTAGAATCAGGGTGAGCTGTATCGATCTAAGTTAAACTGCTTAAGTGCAAAAGGGTTCTGCTCAGATTTGAACTGCCAACTCAACTATTTATTTATTTCATCTACCTTTCTAAATATATCCAATTTCTTGGTCACCATAAAAAATTAACATTCTTAGACCAACGTGTAAAAATGAGTTTCCCATCAATCTCCACTTAATCCACTTCTGAAAAATCCCCAACAACTGTCTGCTAAGTGGTTACATTTCTCTCTCACCCTACATTGTGCCAAGCCTATACTCAGATGAACTGGCAATTAAAGTGGCTTCTAAAGTGCGAAGCTCTTTACCTGGGTACTATTGGCACCACCCCCTGCCCACAAATGGAAGCTAAGGCCAACTGTTCTAGCCTACAGGAAGGGCCGAGTCCCAGGGGAAACATTAGAACTCAAGGACACCTGGGAAGTACTCAGAACTGTGTAGAACAGGCACCAGTACCTCTGCAGTTCTGTGCGTCTGCAGGTACTGCCTTGAGGCCTTCGTAGGACCCAGCCTCTGAAGACTGCAGGATATAGGGTATTTCTGCAGGGTATATCCCAGGGGTGGGAGGGTAAATTCTGGGGGACAGGAATGATTGCTAGTTTGTTAGTATAGCTTTAGCAGAAAACTAGAGCAATTGATAGAAAACACAGGTAAGGCCCCAAGGTAATTATAGCTCAGAACTTTCATGTAATGAACTTGGGGGGTAGGGAATTTTCAATCCAGCAGGATGGCTGTCTAGGAAGAGCTTTAGCCCACTGCAATCCCAGATCCTTATACCAGGCAGGTCCCAACGTGGACCACCCTGCTTGGCACAGAATCACATGGGGCCCAGCCACTGCCCAGGATGACCAAGGAGGTGAGGAAAGGACTCATGAAGGCACAACAGGCCTCAGTCCCTGGGTGGAGGTGCAGAGCTCCATTAGATCAGCTGGGTGGAAACAGCTCCACACACTCCTCCACAGGCCCCCAGAGACCAGAGCTTTGTGGAACCTGCCTGTTTCAGACCTTCAATCTGGGGCTGAGCCAGAATTCCACTGAAGGCTACAGGGGTGTCATGTACCAATATGCAGCCTATTGCCCCCCCAAAATTCAGAGGTTGCAGAGACAATGAGGAAAACACTAACTGTAGCCAAGTGACAACAGTGGAGGAGTTAAGGATGAGCCCTTGAACCAGCCTGGCTAGGTTCACATCCTGGCTCAGCCACTAACTTACCAGCCTGGGTAAGGGACCTCCCCACACTGGGCCTTAGTGTCCTCATCTGTAAAATGAGGGCATGTGAGTACCCACCTCACATGTCTGTTATGAGGTCAGATGAATTAATACATGGAAATGTGTGTACAGTCCCAAGAAAAGTGTAAGCACTCAGTAAATGTAGTTGCCATTGGCATCATCATGACCCAGAGAAAAAGTTCCTGGCCCAAGAATTAGTTTCCCAACAGTTAGATTTCTAAGGTTGTCTGAAAGAGTCCCTGGTTTATGAAAACTGGTTTCTTCCAAATGAAGCATAATCATTAAACATAGTTTGCTGGTGTTTAATTTTTATACCTTCATAAACCATTTGGTTGAATTACATTAACAAATAGGAAAAAAAGAAACCCCAACTTTGTCAGAAGAAGTCAGAATCTCATATGCCACAGTGTATATCAGAAAATGTGACCACCAGAACAGTCATCGAAGCAATCATAACAAGGAGAGAGTAGACAAGTGCCCAAAGTCCCTGCTCCCCTTTTTTCACACCCAGTGAGGAGCAGGATGAAAACAAACCCACCTAGCAAGGATCCCCCACCCCCACCCCCTGGGGAAGACAATGACAGCTCCCAACAAACTGCATTTTCATGCACCTATTTCCAACACAAGCCAGCAATCTAGGACACGAAGAAAAGAGAGAGATCTACACACCGTCTCGTATACTTCTGGGATTCCTTGCGCACCTGACACAACAGCGCATGCCAGCCTTGGTCTCCTGGCCCTGGGGACCACTTTGCCTGAGGCAAATATGGCACCAGGTTAATGGGATCCATCCTCGGCCCGTGGGCCGGCTTTCTGTGGGGAGAGCGCACATCTGCATTCAGTCTGGCAAGTTGTTAACAGAATCAGAATGCAAAGTAAATTAGAAATCAGCACCAACTGTGCCCAGGTAACTCAGGATGATGGTGGGAAAAGACATTCCAGAGCAAGTCGTTTATTTGAGAGTATTATGCTCAGTTTCAGGGTAGGTATTCAGGTCACTTTCCTGACCAGGTGAAACTGGTCATATTGACAATCCCAATTTTCTGGGAGTTTCTCAAAATTCCTAAAGACTTTCCCCTTTTAATCCACTCTACAGTGCACATGGCCATACAGATGGGGTCCTGGGCTGCTAGGCCTCCCCTGTCTCTGAATGCTAGTGAGGCCAACCCCTCTGTGTCTCAGCTTCAGCAGCGGGATGGCCAAGAAAGCCAAATATGAAGGTAACGTAGCCCTATCGTCTTGCTGTGGTATCTGGGGGCATTCTCCAAGCAAATAGACAGGTTCAAAATGGAAGAAAGGAATTGTGTCCTGACTGGCCACATTTCCAGATTAGAAAATAAATCTCCTATGTAAAAGAAGATCAAAGGGGGTCTGTTTTCTTGAAAATGGAATATAAGAAGGACTTTACAATGTTTACAAATTTTGCATTTTATGTTGAAATGCTTATTAACTGCTAGTTTCAGATAGAACTGGGAAGGCAAGATTGATGGTATAAAAAGGCAGTGGGAAAAAAAATTTAGCTCACGATTTCTCTCATTTGGAGATCACTCATACATAGAAGGGACAGCCCAGCATCACTGTGAGCTACAGCAGAAAGTAGGACAAGTGACAAAGAGAGAGTGAGATCAGAAAAGGAAGAAGGTGAGAGAACCCCCCTCAAATAGAAGCCACAGATCACACTGGTTCTAGAAGTACAAGTGCACTGCCTAACAGAAAAGTGTGCACTCACAGTTGTGTCTACTCTCATAACTGACAGGGAAGTGACCTGAAGCATGACCTTACACTAATAAGCCACATCAACTGGCGTGAAGAAGTTATAGTTCAGGCATTCACACACGAAGCTTGTCTGCTTGTATTTTCATATACCACAGACTATGGAGCTCTAGACCTAAGTTAAAAGAGGGTAAAGGGTAGAAAAATCCCTTCCTGGGTGAGTGTTACTTCAGTCTGGACAGCCAGAAAGTTCATGGGTTCTCACTGTGATTTTGAAATTCAGTTGTTCCCTATTCCACTGAGAGGTTCTTTAAAAAGGCTTTTGGAACCTCAAACTGGAAAGAAGACTAACTCCAAGAAATCAACTCTGAGCAGAAATGTCACTTCAATGTTATTCCATTCCTCATCCTTTAGCTAAAATTCTACATTGCATTTCACAGATGGAATCTGTTCCTAAAATTCCTTTCTTCTCTCAACCAATTACAAAAAATAAAGTAAATGGAACCATCAATTAAAAAAAAAAAAGGTTGTTAGGAATCTACTCAGAACCACAGAAATTAAACCATTAACAGCCACACCCTAACATCACCAGAGGGTATCTGAAAGCCCTTCACAGTTAAAGAATAAAAGTGATTTCAGGTCTGAAAGGAGCATTAGTCACGAAATAATTTGTCATGTTATGCACAAGAAAATCAGGCTAAAGGGCAGAGTTGAGTTCCAACTGGAAGGCAGGTTGCTGAAATCAAGCAGCAAGGAGTGGCTGAGTATCACCAAAAGCAGTTAGGATCCCATTCCCACAAACCTATGCCTGTTCTTGTATTTCAGCTGATGACCAGCTGGTCTATTAAAGGTGACATAAGCTATGGGTCACGCTTATGACCCATATCTGAAAATACATATCTATTTTCAGAAAGTAAAAGCAGAGTAAAGCTGCTCTTTTTTGGTCTCAGGCGTAGGAGAAGCAGCAGCTAAGGCCGTCTTTGACTGGAAAGAAAGAACAATATCCTACCTCAGATGACAGATACTTTGCCAGTGGTGGGTCCTGGTGCCAGCGTCTTCTCTGGGCTCTTGACCCGGGGCAGTGTGACTACAACTAGAGGCCAGAGGACACCTGCAGGTCAGCAAGCCCTCCCTGGACTGCTGGAACAAGCCACCGACAAGTGGCTTCGAGGGTGTATTTCAGGATGCCTGCCTTAGGGCCCCCAGTTGAAAGGAGTGCAGGCTGGCATTAGGAAAGCTAAAACCCAAAAGCAGTCCTGAAACTGTTTCAGATGGAGCTCCTGAGGGCCCACTCCAGGGAAGAGCAACTACACTGAAGCAAGCCCTGCTCTCCAGTGAAATGCTGAGCACACGCTGCAGAGCAGCCCCAGCCAGGGAGGGCGGGAAGAGAGATGCCAGCACAGCTCCAGACCCTGCCGTGCAGGCTCCCCACACAAGAGCCGGGCACCAGAGTCTAGTGGTTTATTGTGGCCCAAAGGCTTAGCTCTGCTTTTAAAGACAGCACTCATGATGTCTACGTAGCACCTTGCCACAAAAGAAACAATTCTGGTTTCTAATGTGCTTTATAGAATGAATTAAGTCTTACTGGAAGATGCAGGGGTGATTTCACCCTCTTTCCTAGGAAACACACAAGTAGCTCTGACAGATATCAAACAGCACACTCACTGTGACGGTGAAGCATAAAAAAACACCACATTGGCACTTGGGGAGCTGGGTTAGAGTCCACTATATCATGTACTTGCTGTATGGTATGGGAAAATTTACTTATGATCTGCAAATATGTGCCCCGATTTCAAAATGTGGATGATTATTCCAATGACAAGACACAAAGGAAGCACCTCATACATGCTGACATCCTGAACAAACATGCTACTGATTCCTAAACTCATGGAGGAAAGGCAGTTCCGAGAGGATCTGGGAAAGGAACAAAGCATGGCAGCCAAGTGGGTGGCATTAAGGGCAATTCATGTTTAAGCATGTTTGGTAAAAAGACCAAATGTATTACTTTATATTCACACTTCATATATCAAGTGCCATCTGCTACCAGACTCGGCTAAAACTGGGATGTAAGGCAATGAATGAAGTAGACATGGTTTCTGACTTTGTGGAACTGACAGCCTACATGGAGAGACTTACAATGAACAAACACAAAAATTAAATGATTAGAATTGTGATAATGAAAGAAACAATCATGGCAAAACCACATAGAGGTGGCCTGTCTAAGGGACAAGCCGTTCCTCAAGCTTTAATCCAAAGTCAAAACGATTCAAACCACTATGCTGGCCATATAACACACAACCTGGCCCAGGGCAGCTACTAGTTTCTGACTCCTGAGTTTTAGATTATTACCTTAAGGTCTTACATATAATAATGAATATGACAGACGAGGTACCCATGTAAATGTAAAGTCAAGAATCCAGTATGTTTATGATTTTTTAAAAGATGTATTTATTTTATTTTTAGAGAGAGAGTGGGAAGGACAGAGGAAGAGGGAGAAAGAATCCTAAATGGACTTTGGAGCCCATCAAGGGGCTGGATCTCATGACCCTGAGTTGAAACCAAGGGTGGGACACTTAACTTGACTGGCGCCCCAGGAATCCAGCGTGTTTAAAAGAAGCTGGTAAGGCCCAAACCAGAGTATCTAATAGTAACTGTGTATGGGTATCAGCTCCAAGAATAAGCAGAAAACATAATAAACAATATTTGCACTCAAACGTGGGTACAATCACGTACTATATCTCCTATAGTATAAATTCATTCCACAAACATTTACAGAGCACCTACTATGTGTCAATTTTTCCAGTTTCTGTGGTATAGTGAATGAACAGTAAGTAAACTGCTGTGTTCATGGAGATGACATATCAATGGGAGAGACAAACAATAAAAAGGATAAGCATATAAAATGTACATTAAAAGGGCTCTAGGACAATGGTGGAATAGGAGGAACCAGGAATCTATCTCCCCGCCTACTCAGTAACTGCACTGGCAGAATCTGTCCCCTAGAACTACGTATTTTAGAACTGGGCAGTCTATTAAAGGCTTGCAAATTCCCAGAAGGCTTGGCTGGGGAGTTGTGGTTAATTTCTGTCAATTTCTGCTGTAAGCACAGTAGCAGCAATACAATCTCCATCCTAGGGGAATGCAGCCGTGTACCAGATCCTGGAGCAATTTACATATAGCTTGCTAGAATGAGGGTGGGCAAAAAAGGCCCGCCCCTCTGATTATCAGGGATTTGTGCCTGACTGCTTTATAGCTGCTTCTGATCACAGAGGTGCAGACAGAGGTGGGCAGCCAGTGTGGCTGCAGCTCCCTCCATTGTAGCAAGCCTCTCCACCTCTGGATGAGGTGGCCACCAGGGTGTTTATAGGGCTAGCAGCATTTTATCCTCCCTTCATTTTCCTCTTTTTCTCCTTTTGGAAGCCAGTAATTAGAGTAAGACATTCAAAAGCAATTGAATACATGGGGAAAATTAGAAAGTGACTGAATATCCAGGAAAAGGCACATGCTCAGAAAAGACCTGAGAAGACCTTAAGTTCAAAGATCGTGCTGATCCTCAGCACAAAGTCAGCCTATAAAAATAAATACTTGAATTAATTAATCAACAAAAGACAGCAAACACTAGGGAACAGAGAAAATCTGATTTCAGAGTTACCATATTATTAGATTAAAATGTCCAGTTTTCAACAAAAAAAAGTCAAACAGCATACAAAGAAATAGGAAACTGTCTCATTCAAAGGAAAAAAATAAACAACAGAAACTATCCCTGCAAAAGAACTATAAATTTACCTGAAGAAGATATTAAAACAATCATCTAAAGCTGCTCAAAAAACTAAAGATGTAGAGAAAGTCAAGCGAATAATGTGTAAAAATAATGGAAATACCAATAATACCAATAATAAGACAAAATCAAAAAAAAAGGAAAAGGAAATACTGGAGTATATAAGAATAACAGAAATGAAAAAGTCACTAGAGCCATTCAAAGGGAATTTAAGCAGGCAGAAGACAGAATCAGTGAACTTGAAGATAGGGCAATGGAAAGTACTGAATCTAAGAAATGGGGAAAAAGACTGAATAAAAGTGAACAGAACGTAAGGGACCCATGAGACCCATCAAGCCAACCAGCATATATACTGCAGAAGCTTCAAAAACAGAAGAGAGAAAGGGGCAGAGAGAATACTTGAAGTAGTGGCTGAAAACTTCCCAACTCTGCTGAAAGACATGAATATAAACACCCAAAAAACTCAATGAACTCCAGGTAACATGAACTCAAAGAGACCCATATGAAGACATATTATCATCAAACTATCTAAAGGCAAAGACAGAGAACCCTGAAAGTTGGAAAAGTGACTTGTCACACACAAGAGCTCCTCAATAAAATTATCGACACATTTCTCATCACAAACTTTAGAGAATATAACACACACACACACACACACAAAAAGAGAATATAACGCAGTAGGCAATATATTCAAAGTGCTAAAAAAAAAAGAAAACCAAAAAGCTGTCAACCAAAAATCTTGTATCTGGCAAAACTGTCCTTCAAAAGTGAGGGAAAAATTAAGACATTCCCAGATAAACAAAAGCTGAGATAGTTTATCACTACATTTACTCTGCAAAAAATGTCACAGGCGTCCTCAAGGTGAAATGAAAAGACACTACACAGTACCTCAAAGCCATGTGGAGAAATAAAGATTTCAATAAAGATAAATACATGCAAATTATTATAACAACAGTTTGTAAAACCACTTTCTGTGTTCTACATGATTTAAAAGGCTAATACATCTTTAAAAAATAATTTTTAGTTTAAAAGCTAATATTATTTTAACTTTGGTCTGTAACTCCAAATCTTGTTTCCTACATAATTTAGGAGACTAATGCATTTAAAATTAGTATTAGTTTAGTCTTTGGGGCATGCAATGTATAAAGATGTAATTTTGCAACATCAACAACCAAAGGGATGGGGACAGAGTAAAGTAGAATTTTTGTCTGTTATTGAAGTTAAACTGGTATAAAGTCAAATTACAATGTTATACATTACAATGCTGCTAGCCCTATAAACACCCTGGTGGCCACCTCATCCAGAGGTGGAGAGGCTTGCTACAATGGAGGGAGCTGCAGCCACACTGGCTGCCCACCTCTGTCTGCACCTCTGTGATCAGAAGCACAGGATGTTTAGCACAGGATTAGGATGTTAAACATAATCCCAATTGTAACCATAAAAAAAATAACTATACAACGTACACAAAAGGAAATGAAAAGAGAATCAAACATTTCACTACAAAAAAAAAATCAACTAATGTAAAAGACAGTAAAAAAAGAAATGGTGGGGGGGAGAACAGAGAACAAATAGCACAACTGCAGAAGTAAGTCCTTTCTTACCTGTAATTACTTTAAATGTAAATGGATTAAACTCTCCAAAGAACAGAATTTGGCAGAATAGATAAAAATCACATGATTCAACTATATGCTGCCTACAAGAGACTCACTTGAGATCTAAAGACACAAACGGGTTGAAAGTGAAAGGATGGAAAAAGATACCCCATGCAAACAGCAAAAGAGAACAGGGTGGCTACATTAATATCAGATAAAATGGACTTTAAATCTGCTTTTGGTTTTTTAAAGATTTTATTTATTTATTTGACAGAGAGAGAGGCTGAGAGGAAGAGTGTATGCACAAGTAGGGGGAGTGGCAGGCAGAGGGAGAGGGAGAAGCAGATCCCTGGGATGATCACCTAAACCAAAGGCAAAATGCTTAACTGACTGAGCCATCCAAGTGCCCCACAAAATGGCCTTTAAGCATATGAAGTAAAAACTGACAGAATTGAAGGCAAAACAGTGCTGTAAGAGTAGTTGGAGACATCAATATCCCACTCATAATAATGGAAAGAATAACCAAAAATAAGGAAATAAAGGACTTAGCACAATAAACTAACTAGGTCTAACAGACATATAAAACATTATCCAAAAACAACAGCATACACATTGTTCTCAAGTACACATGGGACAATTTCCAAGATATACATACATTAGGCCACAAATTTCCAAATTAGTCTCAATATTTAAAAGACAGATATCATATAAACTATCTTCTGTAACTACAACAGGATAAAGCTGAAAATCAGTAACAAGAGATATTAGAAAATACTCAGTGATAAATAAAAACAAAAACATAATATATTAAACTAAAATATACAACAAAAAAGAGTGGTAAGGGGGAAATCCATAACTATAAATATGCACATTATAAAACAAGAAAGACCTCAATGACCTAACTCTACAATTTAAAAATACTAGAAAAAGAACAACT